GGGCTGGGGGACCCACAGAGGTCCCTGCCAACCCCGACCATTCTGTGATTCTGTGATTCTGTTTGTCTATCATGCACAAATTCATTCTTATACTGACTATATTACTATTGTTCATTTAGATCAGCAGTAATGAAGATTATTTATTAGGTGCAATTAATAATGGCCTGTACAGCTTGTCCTTCCAAATAATAGCAGAAAAGATACAGACCAGGAATACTACAGAGATAGGAATCTGCCTTTTGAATACAAAAGTGAGAAAGACAGAGAAAATAAAGGAATAGAAAATAGGGTGTGCATGTGTTCCACCAGTGGCTGTACTTGCAGCAATGACTGTGCTTAGACATTTCCCTGGAACAGAGAAGCAGGCTTTAGGAACAAAACCAGATTTGTATTGATTCGCTAATTACTGTGGGTTGCAGAGGAAACCATGTCTAAATCTATCACCTACCCAGATGTGTGCTGAGCTCTGCACTGCTGCAGCTGGATCCTCTCCTGCGCAGCACCTGGAACGAGAGCGGTGTGATGCTGCCCTGCGTCCCGCACTCCCTCTCTGTCCCCAGGGTTTGGATATGATGAAAGAAACGTTTTGACCTGACTTCCCTGCTTCCAGTTTGGCAGATAACCAAAAAACAACCAAGCAAACAAAAAACAAAAAACAACCCAGAACAATCTGCAGTACCATGAAAGTCAAAGACAAATAGCAAGGTCTTATCTGACTAACGATTTATAAGAATTGTGTGAAATGGTTTGGGGCTGGTGAAGGGCACCTTCACCGTCCACCCCAGTGAGGTGAGGAAGCCACAGAGAATGTGCAGCATTTGGGTGGAATTCCCCCGTAACTTGTGCATCAGTATCTACTCTTTTTCCTTAGAAATCTTCATCCAATGATGAAAGATGCTCAGAGACGACAAAAACAAATTTCTCGCGATTTAAAGAGAGTCTGGAAGAATTCCTGAAATGGGTCAATGAGAAGCAGAACTGCAGCAACATCACGAGAGGCGAGTCGGGTTTGTATCCGGACAGCAAATGCAGCTGCCCTGACCCATGGAAGTACAGCAAAGGCTTGCTCTAGGGACGAGCTGCCCGGGCAGCACGGAGGCTGGCTGGGAAGAGGGGGAAGGAATGGCTGTTACAAATCTAAGTCTTTGCTAAGTGTTAGTGCAAGTAGGTGAATTAAAACTGTTAAAAGCAACTAAAACTGTACACAGCAATTAAAACTTTATATAACAAACACACCCAAGTATCGTCATTTATATCATGCACGGTTACCGAATGTGAAATGTCGTTCAGTCACCAGAGATATGTAGCAAGGCTTGAAGTTTGTGGGTATTTTGCACAAAAGGCCAGAAAACCCAAGCCTGACCCACAAGCCGTCAGACCATTCAAACGCTTCAGGGAGCGGGGCCAGGAAAGGTTCGAGGGTGGCTTGAGGGTCGGGGGGGTCAGCAGGGATTTAGGGGACTCAGCACAACCCCGCAGAGCAGCTCCCAGGGAGGGAAGAGACCTGACACCCACCATCCGCACCATCTGCTTTAACCTCCCAGCACTAAAATCCTTGCTTTTGGTTTCTGGTGGTTTACGATGAGCTTTAACTCGAACCTGACCAAATAAAACTTCAGGTTTCATGTGCCTGCCACTTTGGCCGCAGTATCTTGCCCCAGTGTACTGAACAGCTTTGGGTTTGAATTTTTCAGATCTTTTCAGTATACAGCATTTATACAGTTTACGACTAGATCCAAACTGGTGCTGAATCACAAGCTTTAAAAAAGATACAGAGCATAATACTCCTTGCATGAGACCTCTGCGTAAATCGGTACAAACCAGGTGCCAGATGCTGGTTTTCTGATACATATTCGTGTCTTTGCAAAACAGTCAAGTCTTGGGCAGAGACATAAAAGGCAAGAAGTTTCTACAAAAAGCAGACTATCACAAACTAGCGATTCAGACCAATTCTGGTCACAGCAACACCAGTACTCCCAGTCTGCAACAGTGATACCAGATACAAGAGATCATGGATGCTGGGTCTCCCAAGGGCTGCTTTGCCTGTTTCCATGCGTACAGGCAGCAGTGATACAGCGGAACCCTCAGCACCACGGATTTCAAGGGTTTTGTCCTCAAGGCTTGCAGAAGACGGGGAACCCAGACTTCTCTAAATACAGACAGAAATATAGTTTGCCATAAAATTGAGCCAAAAAGACAATTGGCACGTACCATAATGAATCTAGCTGGTATCAGTTAAAAACCTGTAGTTCTTCAAAGCCCAGCAAAAGACTGAGACAGGAATCTGAAACTGCTGTGATAAAACACGATAGAGTCATCAAATGGTCTTCTAATGCAGAAATATCACAGATAGATGTTTGCAAGATAAATCTTATCTTGATGCTTAGACCTTTGCTGCCACGCTTCACCACCCTTGTACACACAGCCTACCTAACGTGGACAAGGATTCCTACTGAGGTCACTAACGATCATGGAAATAACAATCTTACTTGTTATGAAAGTAGGATTTATCACTTTATCACATGTAAAACCAGATATAATTCATACAAACATACAAACCAGAAGGTTTGCACCATTTCCCGTAATACCTTAATCACCAGCCAATATCCAGTCTAGAGTGGATGTCAGAACTGTTTTTTGCAGCTGACTAAAAGGTGACAAGAGGGAGAAAGAGACACTGCTTTTATAAGTCACATGGGGAAAAAACCTGTCCTTTTAAGGCTTCCACCTGAACAGAAGTCATTTTCTAGCATGCTCAGAAGGCCCCAAACCACCAAGCATCTCCAGGTTAAAACATCAGCGGAGATGGGGTGGTACGGGTCTCGGCTTAGCTGTCTCCATCTTTCCGCATCCCATGCAAGCTGAGTGCTTTCGAAACACCCACATCACAGTGATCTTTGAAAATTGAAATGAAATGATAAACTCACAAAGCCCAAAGCCTATTCAAACATTTGAAGTACCAGCATGATTTGAACTGCAGCAGGGCTCTGAAGTGCCATATTCCAACGACCAGGTAAGGGATGAGTTTCTGTGGTTGTGCATGAAAGGATGGGACCTACACAAAGAAACCAACTTGCTGAATTACTGTACTTGAACTATTCACAGCACATACAGTAAATGCAACCAACCACTAACCTTCCACTTGGGGCAGCTGCTGAGTAATAGCTGAATTTGTTCATAAACTTGGCTCCACCTCACCTTCCAGAAGAACTTAAAAAGCACCAGGCTTAAAACAAACCACTTTTTAACTTGGTATCTTCCAATATTTGTAATTCTTGAAGCCACTGTTTAATGTTACTTATCTGTGATTTACCTTAGTCCCAGGGTTTTACTTGAGGAATGCAGCTCTGTCACCTGCCCAGCCCAGCCACTTCAAAGAACAATTCCATTTAAAAACCAGCAAGCAATAGAAGAGCACTTGGCTGAGCTTCACAAACCCGAGAGATAAACAAACGTGCTCCTGTCCAACCTTATGAGAAAAAACAGATCAAACCACAAAATCCTCTGGAGCTGGCCAGTTCAAATACGCACCTTAAGGGCTGACACATCTTTGTAGAATCTCACAAAACCAGAGACAACTACAACAGTCAGTGTATGAACTGGGATGGTTGACAGAAGAGTAGTGCTATCATGAGAAAGACGTTTATTCTGCAGGAGTCTATGACTTTAAGGAGTTCTTAGGGGAGAACATCATCTTCTGTGGTCAGGTTTCCTGAGATACATTTCGGTTTTTCTGCTGAGCACCCAGCCTGTGCCAGTACCTCCTCCAAGATATTAATTTTAATATAATTCAACTTTATTTTTAAAATTCTGATCATGACGCTTGGGCTTACCTCAGAAACTGTGGTACCCCATTGACTTGATCAGAAAGTCCTGTAGCACGCCCAGCATGTTTCATATTTGGTTTTTTAAGTTCATAAAGAGGGGAAAAAAAACCCAGCCACCTACTCTCACTCCTACTATATCCACTCTTAACTCTAGGTTATTACCCTTGTATAAATGTTTACTTTTCAGTACATCTCCTTGCAGCCCTTGCATCAAGCAAATGCAGAAAAGGAAACCAACTCGGATTTAAATCTTGACCATTCAGATGAGGTAGGTAGTGACATTTCCCTCACCAACGTTATGAATGCATTTGTTCTCAATTCACTGCACGTCCCACACGTGTTTCCTGTACACAGCACCAAGCAGGGCCAGGCCACCTCTGCCAGTGCTGGCATGACCAAAGTAACTCCAGATCATGACAGTTAATGTGTGTTTGCCCAGTCTTCTTCCCCCACAACCTCAAATCATTTGTGCAATGAAAAATACTATTTCTTTCTGAAAACTGAGACTTGGTTTTGCTCACAGACCACCATGGCTACAATGCACAGAAAAGCTCTACAACTCTGGACAGGGAAAATTACACCCCAGCCCATTGCACGGGACTTACGGGTAAAACACTCAGTAACTTCACCTCCACGTGCAAACTAACAAGACACTTGTCAGAACTGCAAAGAAGAAATGTAAGGTGATCTTGCCTCTTACTTGCAAGCAGTTTCACTTCTATTTCATCTCCAGCTTCTTTCCAGAGGTTTCCGGATCACAAGCAAGAAGCTTCTGTCATTCAGACAGAAGCCCCGTTGATATCCCCATTACCCCGCGGCTGACACGCTGTGGACATGCAGGTTTGGGATCCCGGGGGAGCAGAACACAGTGTCCCACGCTGGCCGGCCCCAACACGCTCATCGGGTGCCTGCGGGCAGCCCAGCATCAACCCAGCCATTCCCTCCCTGCCCACAGGCAGCCGGCTCCTGCCTAGCAGTACCAACCCTTACAACCATGAGCAACAGCAGCTGAAACAAGAGTGGAGTATCGTACTCAGAAAATGTCGCAGGAGATGTCAACAGGAAACAAGCAACATCTCAAGGTTCTGTTCTGATAGATGAATCAGAACTTGGGTGCAAATTATAATTCAGTCTTCAGTTCCTGCACTTCCAACGCTTGCTGGATGAACTTCACAAAACATGGCCATTAGAAGGACAACTGGGCCTTCCTTTACTTTCAGTTTTCTCACGTCACCTCAAAAAAATCAGGTAAATGATAACCAAGTAAGATTGTTGCTGAGCCTGCCCGTAGTCTGCACCAGTGAAACTTCATGGCTCACGTATGGGGTAACGGGAAGGCTTGCAACAGGTTGACCGCTCCTGAGGGTGGGGCTGAGTTGGCCATGCCCTACAAGCCCCCAGTAATCCACAACCCCCTCAAGACCAAAGCCATACTCAGCTACTCCTCATACTTCCACAAGGTGAAACAATCAAGCAAAACTTACAAACAAGCAAAACATTCGTACTGCCCCAGCACCCTGGCATCATTTAGGATATCACAGTATGTATCCTGATAAAACAAACAAAGCTGAGCAAAGTTTTTAAAAATAAAGACTCTGACATGTTATACTTAATGTCAATGCTTCTATGGAAAAAGGAAGAAATATAATTTAGGCTGATTACTGATACCATTCAGCACTCTGAAATTGCTCGTCGAAGCCCTCCTGCTCTCAGTTCCATTAGAGAGAAGACTCACACAAGTCTAGCCCACAGGATTCGACCCAAAGGGAACACAGGCAGAGAACCTCAACATGTAAATTATTTCTTCCCACGACTTTATCAAAGAGTGGGGAAATACAACAGGCACTGAAGTTACTGTACCTGTTTATCATAGCTGAAATTTTTCAAGTTTGTTTTGTTTTTTCTTCAAAGATACACACTGCTAGCCACATCCTTGAGTCATGAATGCCATGAGCTGTAGCAGGCAAAAAATATATTCTTATTAAAATAAGCCACACCTTTCTCTAGTAATAATAGCACTAACTATGGAACAGAATGGAAATAACATTTAAAAATCCCATACTAAATAAAAAAGTCAAGGGAAGAAATGGCAAGTATGAAATCATTCGTTTGAGCTAATGGCCCATCAGTAATCCATAGACTGAAAACACAGTTACCATTGACAGTAACCTTATGTAAAAGTTGTAAAAAAAAATATTTCCCAAAGACTTGAGATCTACAGAAATCCAATCTAATTCTGGTCAGA